ATTTTCAATCTAAACAAGTAGTGACTTTTCACATAATGTATGAAAACCGACTCGCCCGACACGGTATACGCAGACGCGTTTTCGTCCAATGCAAAGACGCTTGCGCATATTTTCAGTTATTTTATTAGGAAAAAACGATTTCAGCGGTCGAGATCGGAAATTCTTATGTCCCAGAGTCCGCCCGGTATTGTTTACGGGGCGAGGCGGCCCAGCGATCTGCGCAGTAGGACTTTGCCTCGTCTCGGACCCCCCGAGTCGCGGGACAGGGGCGAAGCTCTAGGCGCCAAGTTTCCCTCCTCGCCGACCGATATGAACAAGATGGAAGACGCGACCGAAGTCCCTTCGCATACGCACTACCTCATCGCAGTGCATAGGTTGGTTTCTTTCGTGCTTGGCTTTTGTTGGACATTAAATACATAGGTTTTATTAACCTCCCGAAACATTTAATAAGCGTAAACATAACTTAGATATATATATATATATATATATATATATATATATAGCATAACCTTATAATCATTTGACAAATCCCGTTCATGGTAATTAAATCGTTTCCAGGAAGCAGTCCAGATCGGACGCGTACTTTTTACCCTGGCAGCGGAGTCGCGCGGCCTTATTCGGCGTGCCCGTGGTGGTGGGCGTGCGAACGGGCGCGTGCGGTCGGGACGTGTACGCCGCGGTTTGGACGCAGCTCGCGCGACTCCTGTCTGCGCGACCGCCGGCCACGGACCGGCACAACCATGCCACCGATTGGTATGGATTTTTTTGTTTAATGTTTTCCTTTCTCTTCCTTTTATCTCAACTCTTTTATAAATCTTTCAATTTAAGTCTAATATGTAGCTCGTGTCATAAGGCATATGTTCAAAATAAAGTCAAAATTTATAAAAATATGGCAACATTTCATTCTGTCAACATGTCGAATTGTGTTAAAAAGTCAAATAAAAAGCTGAAATTTCCTAAATCCCCAAAGCGACGACAGCCTCGGCTACGAGTTCCCGTTCACGCTGCGCGTGGTGAACGCGGAAGGGGCGTGGTGCGCGCGCTGCGGCTGGCCCGCCCTCTGCCGCGGCTGCGCCCTACCCTGCGACGACACGCCCTTGATGCTCGCCGACGTGCCCGCGGGTAGATAAACGGTCACATTCGTTCGGTTTTTTAGCTTTACGTTCAATACTGATCTTTTATCTTTGACCAAGGCGCGAACGGGGAGACGTTCACGGAGCGGTCGAGCCACGAGCGCACGTATTGGAGCACCGCGGTAGACGAGAACAGCTCTCCCATCGCGAGGGCCAAGCTTCACCGGCAGGCCAGCGGCAGACTCGTCACCAGACCTCACGTGAGTATGCCTCGGTTGCGGTCGAACCGCTATCATCTAATGTTGAGAATTTCTTAAGAACGAGCCGACTTTTATTTTAGGAATAATATTCCTTCGCAAAGAAAAAAGAATTAGAAAGGTGGATTTCTTTGTGACATTCTTGTCCCAGCGTTTGTAATTGTCGGTGATCGAATTTCTCAGGAGGAGATGGAGAGCGAGGAGAACCCCTTCGAGCTGAACGGACGAGACTTCAGCGTTTTGGTCGGCGGCGGGAGGAGACACGTGATGCTGGCCATCGATTGGGACCCCACTGCGCTGCATCTGCGCTATCAGACCACGCGAGAGAAGGTGACCGAATCGGCCGAACGCTCGAGCCAGTTTGACCATTATTCGGGCGACGGGTGACAAGAGTGTTGAACTCTCTCTGAACAGGCCTGCGTGGAGCACGCGTCGGTGGCGCAGTGCCGCGTGGCGGCCGGCAGCGCCGTGGACCTGGGCAGCTGCCTCGGCGCCTTCACCTCCGAGGAACGGCTGGAGCAGCGCTACCAGTGCTCCAACTGCCGCACGGCGCAACCCGCCACCAAGAAGCTCCAGATCTGGAGGGCCCCGCCCGTGCTGGTCAGTTTATCTCTCTTCTTGTAATTATTAAAAACGAATAATTCGGTCGTCTCTCAATCCAATCCTTTCTGATTCCAGATCGTCCACCTGAAGCGATTCCAATACGTCAACAACAAGTGGATAAAGTCCCAGAAAGTTGTAAATTTTCCATTCCACGATTTCGATCCGACGCCATTCCTCGCGTCGGTGCCTCAGGAAACGATCCTTCGACACAAGGAACTCACGTTCAAGAGGAAATCTTCTCTTCTGGTCGACGTCGACGATCCTATTTCGGAAAGCGAGACCGAAGAAGACAACGAAGAGAGAGAAAGAGTCAGGACGAGGTACGTCTCGACTATTGAGTGTTATATTTGCTAAAACTCTTTAAACGAAGAAAGGGCGTGTCTTAATCGACGCCGAAATATGTTTGCAGGTCCGAAAGAAAGAAACGGGAATCGGTCGGCAGGAAGAGGTTGGAGTCGAGCAGCCTCGTGACCACGCCCGTGCTGGACGACCACCTGGTGGACTACCACCGGCATCACTTGGTGCCGGAACAGGATCCCTTCGATTTGAAGTATAGGCTCTACGCCGTCGTGGTCAGTTGTGTATATTTCGGTTGAGTAATATATGCTTAAAGTTCTGAAGTTGAACTGAGACACACTTTTTGAAGTGACACTTCTTTAGGCGCATGAGGGTTAAATTTTTACGAAACGTCACGAAGATGAGCAGCGTTTTTAGTCGCAGAAAAAGGGAGAGAGCGATTGGAGAGTGAGAAAGTTCGCCCGTAACAATATATTATGAAATCCAATTTTTTAATGAAAATTTCGTAAAGACAATTTGTGAAATTACTAGTCGTGTTAAGTAGTAGTAATAGACATATACTGGTACATGATGATCTATTGGTACCTTAGTAATAATTAATTTACAAAGAAGTTTCACTTCTGACACGTGTACTTTGTACGTACGCACTTTTTTATTTATTCATTTCCTATTTTACATTACAACAAATAATCATTTGATAGACCGTTCTTAAATTCTGTATCCAGTCCCACACGGGCCAGTTGTCCGGCGGACACTACGTGGCCTACATCCGCCACCCCAGCGGCACCTGGCTCTGCTACAACGACAGCTCGTGCCGCGAGCTGCCCCTGCCCCCCGGCGCCTCCGCGCCCCACGTGGACCCGGCCGCCGCCTATCTTCTCTTCTACGAGAGACACGGCCTCGACTACGACTCGTATCTGCCGGACGTCACCGAGCGACGACCCCTCGACGCCCCGGACGCGCTGGACCCTCAGGAGAACGATCTGAGGAAGATGTGTGCGATCGCGTAGCGGGACGGCGATCTCGCAAGGACAGATCGAATTCCTCAGTTTCGGATCCTTTTCAAATTAAATAAAAAAAAACAAATTCCGAGGCCTAAACGCGTATAAACGTGTAGCGGGCGAAAGTGTTCGGTACTCGCTTCGAAGTGACCGTTTCGTTTGTGTTAAATTGTAGTCTGTGATAAATCCCAGTCGTGCAGCTAGATGTCAAAAACCAAATTTCAACATTTCCATTTTCGACTTAGACGGAGAGCTGCATTGCTCTCGTCTGTCGAGGGACCATTTGAGGTGCATTACGTCAGTTCGCTTATGATTGTGGGGTGGAAAGGTTGAAGAGATGTTTGGCTTGTGATGCAGATGATTCGCCTCCTCGAGAATTTACTAATGTTAAAATAAATCTGAATGCCGTTCGACAGAATGTTATTTATAAATCTATCGCTAAGAGTATATAATGGAAACTACTCCCGACTATTATAAATAATGAAATTAAGTTAATATAACTGTAAAAAGGAGATGTAATTTCTGTTTATCTATATTCACCTATACGTAATAGTGAGGGCTATCGGCGGTGCCATTTTATTGCTAAATGCACAATAAGTATTATATTTTCGCAAATTTTATGAATTGAACAATTTATTTATAAGAACTATCGAAACCCGTGTGTATATAAGTCTGTTGGGTTTCTATTATATTATAATTATTAATTAATTTAGAAGGTAATCTAAGGCATTATTATTCAATTTTCATTATATTAAACATTGAATTGCGATACATATTTGTTATCCGAATTTAATTTATTATCCTTGTGCAATAAAATTATTATTTTGTATTTTGTGTTTTAATGAATCGTAAAAGATAAAGAAGGCCTTCTTTTTTATTTTTATGACTGATGCGGATGCTCCCGTTATCTATTTTAAATCTTTAAAAAAAATCGCATTTGACGTAGAATATGAAAAACGTCGGCAACGCGTTCTAGCAATAAGAACAGCCTTGCGATTCAAATCAGTCATTTTAAGATTTGGCATTCTGATAAACAATTAACTACAAGAATGGACCTTATCAGAATGCCAAATCATAAAATGTCTGCTTCACGACTGATTTGAGCGTGACCGCCGCTGCGAAAACCGCTGTGTGAGTTGGAAAAGTGAGTTACAGAAACGCAAGGCAGCGGTGGCTCTAGAGTGCAGCTCATGTTATGAATAATAAATTTAGAGAAGTATACTTTTTAATTAAAGGTGCGACTGTCAGACATTGCACTATCTAAAGATATAAATATTGGTAAACAATTCTATAACTTAGTAGTTTTTAAAGTGTATATGCTTTTTTACATCAAATTAAAAATTTATATTTAGATTAGAATTATATTTAGGCGGTCTACTCGTAGCGACCGCGGGACCACTCCAAATAATAGCATATAAGGAGTATACTAGCCCAGACTTTCTCAAGGGATATATTTCTATGTACAATATCGTTCAACGCGAAAGATATTACCGATATTTTATTCACACATCTTTGTTTATCTATTATTTTTATTAATCGATCCACTTTTAGATATCTGTAGTATTTGAAGGTAAGTTGTCTATAGTAATGTCAATAAAAATATCCTATATGGCAACATATTCAGCAACGGAAGCCGCCATTTATGTGACGTCATGGGCGGAGTTTAGTTGAAGATCGAATTCGGATTCGGTTGGCGGGTGCGGCCATCTTGGTGAATAAGTGACCTGGCGATTTGGATTTAGTTAGTGAAAAATCAGTTGTAATCCACAATGTCCGAAAGGGAAGATAATGTGTACAAAGCTAAATTGGCCGAACAGGCCGAGCGCTACGATGGTAAGTATTTATTTTCGTGTTCGCTTTAAATGCAAGAACATAAATTCCATCCTATTTTTGCCGACAGTTGAAAGATGATTTAGAAATTGTTTCTGTAAATTTTACTTCAACGTGCTGATTTGCAGTAAAGCTCTAATTTTTCAATTGAAAACGCTAATCTTACATTCAATTATCTACATAAAATGAGTGAACTTCAAATCAGTCGTTTGGGTTAGGCTTGGTCAACGATCGATGCGTCATCCGCCGGTGGGATGCCCTTTATTAGGTTTTATGCTATACCTTAGTTTAACGTGTCTATTCCGCCCTAAAGCCTTATCTTTGAATGAATCAATAATGGCAAATCATCCTTAGGTTTCATTAGCTAAATCAATCAGAGAAATCGATGAAATAAAAAGTTGGAGTTTTTTCTCAAAGCTGAGAGTCGATCGATGTCATCGAGCTCAGTGAAGCATATCGTACCTTGGAGAGTAATAGTCAATAGATGAGATGTTGGAATGTTCTAGATAAGAGGGCTAATGGCGAAAGGTCGCCAACCCGTGGCCGGGTTTCGCCTATTGTTGCAGATAGTGCAGTTGTAAAAGTCGTAGATTATCATTCTTGAGATAAAAAAGTCTTGACTTACGAAGTTATCTTCAATTTTTTTTCTCTGTAAAAATGTAATAATTTAAGGTTGCCGTATAGTACTAATGAATGGCGTAAGTGTTCTGCATGTACATAAGTATTCTGTCTGTGACAATCTTGTTTCAAATAGATCAGTGTCAAATGTGGTTTAATGTAATTCTATACATAGGTCAGTTACAATACTTTTACTAGATTGCATTAATGGAGGTGTGATTAACAATCAAATTAACATTATACTTAATTGATTTAGGATGAGGTCATTAACGCACAGATAACCCTGAAGGAAACTTATCTGTTTACAGAAAGCTAACATTTTTAGTGACATTGTATAGAAAACACATTATTCATATAGTCTTGTCTAACATATTATGTAAGATAACATTACAGAACTATAGGGGATGATATTGATTGTATTTAAGATTATTTTAATATGACTTTAAATTTCATTGTAAGCAAGTACTTTGACTGAATTGAAACATTTCAGAAATGGTTGATGCTATGAAAAATGTGGCTTCCCGCAATGTATCAGACAATGAACTCACAGTTGAAGAGAGGAATCTCCTCTCAGTTGCATACAAGAATGTCATAGGTGCCCGCCGAGCATCCTGGAGAATAATCTCTTCCATTGAACAGAAGGAAGAAACAAAAGTAAGTTCTAATAATTATATCTGAATCACAATTTAATCTATCAAGAAAAAGCAGGATAATGTTTAAAATATTTTAAGATACAAAATTATGTTTACCAGGAAACTAAATGTTAAATCTTTAAATTCTTAAGCTACTTTTGTAGGAGAAATATTGTATAACTTGCAAGCAGGTTGGGCATGAGATAAAAGATTAACTATACAAGACATAATATAATTCCCACTGCGCTAGACCTTTATCTAATTATGCTGAATGTTAAACGGGCTGATGTCTGAAAGTGCATTAATTCATCTGGGATTTGTGAATTCCTCTGAGACAATGTTGCCTTGCTTTGTTTACATAATTCATTGTCTTCCTCTCTATTAAATTGTTAGATCATAGGCAGTCATAATTATTTATTATTTTAGATTGAATCTTTTTATGAACTATGTATCACGTATATTGAAATGTTTCAATTATTTGAACACAACATTAAATATTGATTAATTTTTAATTAACAAAATCTGAAGCTCCTTCAACTATTTCATATTTTTAAAAGTGGCATCTGTTATTTTTACAGCTTTAATACATGATAAGATAACTATACAGATATTATAACTATACATATATTATTTATTCCTTTTTTAATTAAGTATAGTAGTTGTCACTTGAATTAACAAATTTTCCTGCTGTGTAATCTTTATCAAAAGCTAGAGAAAGATTTTATGTCACTAAAATGAGATGCAAATTATGCTGTCAGATTCATTCATATTCGTAAATTTAGTATGAGTGTCATACGATCAAGTGCCAGGAGGACTTATTCCTGAAATAATAATGATTGATTACACAATTGAATAAATGAAAAGTCTTTTTGACATGAGTGATGAGTCACAGTTAGGCACTTTTAAAAGTGACTAAGCATAATTGTGTGAGATCCAGGCCTTCTATCACCCACTCACTTTTATGGCATGTCTGCGATCCTTAAAAACCTTCATGATCAAATTCTCAAATACTAAAACTATTATTTGGCACTTTTGAGGCAACCAAAAGGTGGCCTTGTTTTCAACTCAAATTCTTTTGAAGGACAATTATGTAATTTCTTATATTAGTCAGTTCTTGAATATAATGTAATGGAACTGTAAATATTAGGGTATTGATCATGATCTGATCAGTACATTTATGCTTAGCATGTGTATAATAAGCATTTTATTTACTTAACCTACATATATTTGTTTTTGCCAGTTTCATGTTTCTGTCAAACATTTTGATATAAGATAATATACATGAAAAGATTATGACAAAAAATCATGTTAAACCAGTAATAATCAAGTTTTGCTCATTAGTATTAGTTTTAATGGATTAATAGATTCCCGGGTAGCATATTAAAAATTTTTTTTCCTTTTTCAAATAAACTATCTACTACTATTTTTGGTAAAGTTTGATATCTACTGAATTTAGGATACTGGTACTTAGCACTTAAAAATGTATGTGCTACACTGCTGAATGAATAGTGGTCACACAATTAAGTCCAGACCACCAAATTCACTCAAATTAAATATTTAATAGTTAATTTTTTACAATTAAGTCTTTAATACAGCAAACTCGATAAGTAGATGAGATGAAAAGTGTGTAGTTTAACATCAATATCAATTTTACAAACGCGTTGTTGTATGGGCGTGTCCAATGATCGATTATTATAAGACGTAAGAGTTCATTCATAATATCGCCCAAATTCACAGCTCATACAAGTAGAACCCAAAGCATATCGATTATAATCTTTGTTTTCTTAATGTGGGTGTAACATGCCTACACGCTACGTCAGCGTGTAGTGACACTTTGTAGTAACTGTTGCTTCAATTACAACTAATTAAACAGTTTAAAAAAGTAAAAACTCTTCTAAACATTTTTATGCCAAAAAAAAGGAGTGAGAGAATCGTTTATTAGAATTGCGTGCCGCACCCCTTCAGTAGTATGCCGAATGGGCACATTGTAACTGTGACTGAAAGCCAAAACTGTATCCATGAATACATAATGCTGTGAAGTGACCCACTTACCCTAATTAGTAAACTGTGATTATGCGAGGGAACAGACGAAACGATTTCTTTTCGAATTAAGCAGGTACTTAAACTTTCATTGACGTAGTCATAATTTAATGTATGACGCTGTCGAATACTTCTCTAAACTAATTTTAAACTTACATCTTTTAAAGAGTTGCAATTTTTCTTTATTTTAACGTAAATTATACTAAGAAAACTTTTTCGGGGTGGTGCTACGCTAAGCAAACGAGGAATTACACACTTGCATAAAGGCCGCCCCACGAACGTCCATGACCTGTCGAGCGGGGAAGACGAAGGCTGTACGGAATAATACATGTTTCAGGGCGCAGAGGACAAGCTAAACATGATCCGCGCCTACCGCAGTCAGGTGGAGAAGGAGCTGCGTGACATCTGCGCGGACATCCTCAGCGTCCTCGACAAGCACCTAATACCCAGCTCGCAGACCGGCGAGTCGAAGGTCTTCTATTACAAAATGAAGGTAAAACAAAGAATTACTGTTATTGTTTTTACTTTTTTGTTGTAACTTTTGTGGTAATATTACTTAATGATAAAATCTACGTGGAAGTAAAAAATTAAAATTCCCATTTTTATTTAATTTGGCTTTCGGATAAACTTTTCGGTAAATTTTGAATAAAGAGAAGTAATGATATATTATTATTTATTATTAAATTCACACTTACCTGTAAGAAAACGGTGTTTGTATAGTATTGTTATGTAATAAGTAATTATTAATTTACCTATCAAATCAATTTTATCTGCCTTAGTGACAATCGCGATTACTGCCAAGCATAATATGGTTGTGATATTTTTACATTGACGATTAGAATGAGTCATGTAATGTAAATTTTGTTAAATTATCACATGTCATAGCGGAAACTATCGTATCCAACCCAAAAAGCGTTGAAGAGAAATTAATATCCATTTCGTTTTCGCATACCTTAATTTATTCAATTTGCGTACCGTTTCTCTCGCAAATCTTATTTTGCGGTAGAATGTAATTCATAAGCGTGTCGAAGATTTCTTCATAGCTTTTATGGTGGTTCATTTTAAAAGCATTCGGATTATGATCTTTAATAAATTAATCACGATTACGGGATTACTATTTCTTCTCTACATTATTATATACACTAAAAATATCATCTTAGGAATTATAGCTAAAATAGATTAAAGTGAAAGCGTTATTTACATGCATATAAATACTTTCAGAGATTGAGATGAATTGTTCTTTTATATGAGGCATAAAAATAGTTAAGTCCTATTCAATAATTTCCATTTAATCTTTTGAGGAGCCAAGTATATCAGAATTTTGTACCTTGTAAATTTAGCTCCCCCAACTACCTTTATACACAAGACAGGCTCATAATTGTTATATTACTAGTTACTACTGATATTGGCGCTCACATCACGGTAATAAATGGGCCATAGTATCGTAGTAACTGTAACTGGAATGATCAATATTACGCTCAAGAATCTTGGCACTCACCCTGCTTACGTAATGCTGGAACTGAGCTACCGTTAAATTACTACGAAAATTATTTTTACGACCGACTCACGCGAATACTACCGCTCGTTGTGCACAAAGGTGATTCAACGTTGCTTTTATTTCTTGATCTAATCTTCACATAAGCTTTAAAAAAATTGATAGACAGTGAAATATTAATTAATTAGTTAAAAGAGTTACGCATATAAAATATAAAAATAAATTTTTAATTCTACAATCAAAAATCTACAATCTGTTTCGTAGGTAAATCATTTTGCTATGATAACGCAAAAGAGCTCAACGATCTTAAACTATTTTCAAAATTTGAATGAAATCTGTTAAGATTTTAAGAGATATACAACAAATAAAATAATAATAATAATAATAATCATTTATTTGCAAGAATATGGTATAAAAATCTTATGGTTGTACAATCTTAACTCCGCATATTCTGCCACATATAATAGCGTGCAAATTTATATTACATAATTAACAATTAGAATTTTTACTATATTACAATCAAGCCTTATGTGATTTTATAATCACATTATTTATTTTTTATATCCGGACAATCAGCCATATATAAATAGGCATGCAAATGTCATAAATATTTGCTATGTCATATAATAAAAACATTAACATAATGTCATGATAATACGTCAAGCTATTTATAATCAATTGTTGTCAAACTTATAGGCCAAATATTCGCCTACGCTATAAAAAGCACCTTGACTTTAGAAACCCAATCACCTTCCCCTTGAAAACATTACATGACAGCGATCTATAACTTCTGGGAAGGTGATTAAATATTCTTATAGCCATGGCGTTACAATTTTTAGAATATAGCGCGGTGCAACATGCAGGCACCCGCAGCCGTGTTGGATCCCTCGGTATATATAAGCACGTTTCTTTGTATGTATTAAATAGTTTTGGATACTTCTTGACAGTCATAACTGCTTCCAAGATATACAAACTTGGTACTGTCAGAATACCGAGTTCGTGGAAAATTGGCCTACAGCTCATAAGAGGTCCAACGCCCATGATAGCCCTAATACATTTTTTTCTGAGTAATAAAAACTTTACTCACATCTACCGAATTTCCCCATAAAAGGATACCATAGCGCAAAACTGAGGCAACATAGCCGTGGTAAGCAATAATTGCTGCGTGTTTTGAAGCTACTTTGCGAGTTCGACTCAAAGCAAAAACAAATTTATTAAGGTGCGTGCATATCGTTAAAATATGTTGTTTCCAGTTAAGATTTTGGTCTAGTGTTATGCCTAGAAACTTGGTTGAAACAACTTCTTCAATTGACTTGTTTTTATAATTGATTTTGAGGTTATTAGGTCTGCAATTATTATAGTTTCGAAATTGTATAAAATTGGTTTTTTTTACATTTATACTTAAATTATTAATTTCCAACCATTTCGTGACATTCTTTATTGTTTCATTCAATAATGATTCGTGGTTACGCGTAGTATCATTCGACACAACCACTGAGATATCATCCGCGTAAAGAATGCATTTATTAGTAACCAAATTTGGTAAATCATTAATGTACAGAAGAAACAGCAATGGGCCCAGTATGTCCCTTGAGGAAGCCTTTATTGCAATCTATAGCCAGACTTGTACCCCTTTCAATATGTTTGTAGATGAGTATGTGTGATTTCAACATATTGTTTACGACCGGTTAGGTAACTTTCCAGCCAATTTAAAGGCAATCCTCGGATTCCATAAAGTCTACACTTTTGAAGAAGAATGTTGTAGTCTACGCAATCAAAAGCTTGGCTCATGTCAAAAAAAACTACAGATACCTGCTTGCGCCTATCGATATGTTCTACAATTGCCTTAACTAAAGAGAAGCTGTAGGAAGTATTTTTTTCTCTTTGAAAACCCTACTGTTCATCATTTATAACATTGAATTTGCCTAAAAAGAGCTCAACCTATTGTGCATAAGTTTTTCCAACACTTTAGCTAAAGTTGGTATTAAAGTTATAGGTCTGTAGTTTCTAATATCCTCTGTATTACTCTCTTTTTAAACATAGGTTTAACTATTGATAATTTTAAAGAACTGGGAAAAATACCCTGTGTGAAAGATAAATTTATGAGATGGGTAAGGATACTTGCTAGTTGTTGTGAAGAGAATTTTAACACTTCTGTTGTTATTGAGTCATAACCTGCTGCTTTAGTATTATTAAGATTATTTATAGCTTTGAAAACTTCGTCACATGAACAAGGAGTTAGAAATAAGGATGGGTTTACAGAATGAACGTTTTGAAGATTAGTGCTAGGTTTCTTAATTGTTTTATTATTTATGTAAAGTTGTTAAATAAATTCGCTATTTCATTTTGGATCAGATATCAATTGATTATTATCATTTAAGATTTTATTAGCAATTATAGGACTTCGATTCTGGTCTAGTTGGTCTTTTATAATATGCCAAGTTGCACGAGATTTATTTTTTGCGTTTTGTAGATACGCGAAATGTGTGTATTTTTTCGATGCTACAACGCATTTTTTGAGATAATTGTTATATTTTTTGTATGCTTGTTTATTTTCATTTGTTTTCGTTTTAAAATATTTAAAAGTAAGTTGTCTCTTACGCCTACTAGAGATTCTAAGCCCTGGTGTGATCCACTTGGGTGTTGTCATTTTTATTGTTAACATTAACTTTAATAACTGGAAAGCAGAGATAAAAAAATAATGATAAATTGTCATGGAAAATTTGGAAAGCTTTATCGCAAGAACTTTCTTTATATACCTCGCTCCAGGACAAATTTGAAAGGCATTCCCGAAACTTTTCCATGTTTTCAGAGCAGTAATCTCTTCTAAATATACACCACTTTAAGATAATTGGCTTTGTTTTTGTGACGGGAAACCTTAATATTTGGCACGTATCATGATCTGACATATATAAACGGAGTGTTTCGCCTTTAGCACCCTTAATATTACTCAATATATGGTCAATACAAGATAAATTTCTAGTCGGTTCATTAATAAAGTGTTTCAAGTTATAATTTGATAGAATGTCATTGTAATTCATAGTTATATTGTTTATCTTTAAAATGTCTATATTCATGTCACCACATAAAATAATTCTCTGTTTTTATTTTTTTAATTTATGCAAAAGGGTTTGAAATATATTAAAAAAGCTATATACGTCAGAATCGGGCGTTCTGTAAATACAAATTATTATGCATTGAATTGCGGGTATTATTGTGCCACAACATTCAAATGTTTTTTCTATTGATATGTCGTTGCAAAAGCTAAGCGGCGAGATATCGAGAGATTTATCTATGAAAATACATACCCCGCCACGCTTTTTATTTAGCCGACTAAACGATGAGGCTAACTTAAAATTCTTCAGATTCATGTTACTTTCATCGCCCTCTTCTTACAAAAGTTTCAGAAAAACATAAAATTTTAGGAGTAGTATTTTTAGTGTACCTGATTTCGCTAAGATTTAGTTCAATAGAATCTAGTTTGCTAAGAAGTCCTGCTATATTTTTGGTGTAATAAGTAAGAGCTGCTTATTAGGTCATTTCGTGAGGAACTTGAGTCTTCATTAAAAAATCTCTATTGTTTACATGTGAGTTCTGGCTAGGTCTTATCACGGGAAAATAATACGGTATGGTACCCTTTCTAGGAATGTCACCACGATTACATAGTTTTTTTACATTTTTTTTCTTGAAAGTCAAAAATTTTTTGGTATAGTAATCATAGTCAAATATATAGTTTAACTTTTTACATATACTTGTAAGATATTGCCTTTTATAAGTACCACGTTCAATATCTAAATATGAACAATTTTTAGAACTATTACATATCATTTTCAACATATTATTAAGTAATTTTTCATTAAGAAATCTATTGGTACAGACATTTAATAAAATTATTTTGCTGTTTTTGATAATTTTTAGTAAAGCGATAGTTCTATAAATATTTGGTATGGATTGGTATCATTTTCACCTAGGCATAGTATCAGGTAATTTCCCACACAGTCCTCCAAACCGTCAACTGTACTTAAGAGATCACACGTTTTTGCATTGGGTTTAATGATGGAGTTAATTTCAAAGCGTCCGTATTGTGTATTAAATCTCGATCGTATAAGCTCCGAGGCAAGTCCTCGGCATTGTTGACTGCCTATTATATGTATCTTGAATTTTGTGTTAGGCAGTTGGTCAGCTATTGGATAGCTAGCGCCATCTCTCGAGGACGGTAAACATTCTTTAGGTTTTATAAAATTGCTCCTAGAATCAGCGTTAAGAACCTCCATCGAGGTTTCTAATAATTCCAAGTTGCCACAACTTGCATTTAATTTTTGTTTCTTCTTTATTTTTCCTACCTTGTTTTTTCCTCTGTTTTTTGCTTCCTGACAATGTGTTGGGAGTAGAAATATTGTAAGGTGTAGAATATTTCTTTTTAAGATTATTTATGGTTTCTTTTTGTTTTGAAATTTCAATATTTTTCATGGAATTTTCAAGTGTTAGGTTTCCAATTCTTTGGTGCGCTAAATCCAATTCTGATTTTAATTGATTTATTTTCTCTCAACAATTCGGAATATTCGTATACATTTCTTGTAGAAATGTCGGGTAAGCTTCTAACTTCATAACAGTCATAGTTCGATTGAGTTGAGGTAGATGAAATGTTAAGGGATTCAATGGATCTTCCCTTTTTTTCTTCTTATTGTAACGTAGGCATCCTCCATTGTGAGAAAAAATAAAAAAAAAATAAAAAATAAAAAATAAAAAATAATAGTAAAGACGAACAATTTTATAGCCGTCGTGATTTGAACCGGGACGTTTCAAGCTTTATGTTAATTTCTTGACAAGTAGATAACACAATTAGCCAACTGGACTATTACAAATATTGTGAAATTAAGCGATATATTTCAATTTGTATAGATTGCTTAGAAAATCCGTTACAATTCAATTGAAGTGGGTCACCTTGGAGAACAAAGGATTCACTTAACTTATACGTTTCTTCACTTTTATCATCGGTCACTAGTTTATAGCACTTTACTGGTAAGTTTGTCACATTATAAGTTTGTAGATTGAGTAAGAATTGTATTTCCAAGCAAAAATATAATTTTATATGAAATGTTAGGGGCAAAAATTTTTATTGTTATTATTGTCACTGTTTCATAAAAAAATACTTGTATAACATTACCACCACAAAGATAACTTTAAGAAACCTCACTGAGTTACTTTTTATTTGAAATAACGCGATTAAACTATTAGTAAACAATAAAATACACGGAGCTATTGTTTACACGCCAGCGCCACCACGATTCATAAAATATTGTATGCAGTAAAAATACAATGGATAGTTTCCATTGACAATTTTTACAAGAGACGTTGCCGTTTTGTGTTAAGCTGTTGTGCGAAAGTAATGGAAATATGTAGTAGTAGGCAAAGGACCATCCCCAGCCCTGCCCTACTTACCTTTCGACCTCTCAGTCGATTTGTCCGCTGTGAACGAAATTGGTTATGTAATTTTTCCACGCGCAGGTGTCGATTCCTTATGCGCGCGCGTATTAATCTAAAGTCTTACGAATAAAGAAGTTGTGATTTGTAAAAACCCAATATAAATTAATAATAGAATAATAGATGTGATAATATTATAAAACCTATGGCAGAAACACCAATAAACTATAGGTAGAAATAAATGTGAATTAATATTTGTTAACAACAAATATAATTTTTTTTACACACCAAAATGTGTTTGATTAACTGAAGTGCCGCAAAAAGGAATAAAAACTATAATTCGTTTTATGTAACAAAAACTCGTACGGGTTATACTATTATAACACATTTTGAACAATGATCAAAATTCTTTGATGTCGCCGACACCTCTTCTAGTTCATAGCTTGTCACGCGCGCCGCTTCGTGCTTTGCACTTTACATCTAGGAAATTAACTTATCTTTTGTGTAAAGATCATAAAATCATATGATGCTAAGTATGGTTTTTAGTTTTTACATTAAGTTTAATAACGTGAGTTAACCCAATTTAATCAATTGTGAACCTATTGAATTTATTACAAAGATACATTTACTATAGGCTACAAGGCACACATTAGGTATAGTTGAGATTTATTGAAATATACATACGACACTTCTGAACATCTTAAAAGTAAACCGTATGCAAATTTGTTATGAATTCGACAAGTGAACTGAAATATTTACGTCCCGGTAGGTATCCTTTTAATCCCACCGAACTAGCAGTGACTACCACCCCAATGCGCGGCGTTGCCGTTTTTCACCAATATTCTTAAGGGGGCTTGTTATATTGCAGGGCGACTACCACCGGTACCTGGCCGAATTCGCAACGGGCAATGACCGCAAGGAGGCGGCGGAGAACTCACTGGTGGCGTACAAGGCGGCCTCCGACATTGCCATGACCGAGCTGCCACCCACACACCCCATCCGTCTTGGTCTAGCGCTCAACTTCTCTGTGAGTATCTATGTATATGTGACTTGGTCTCGATTACAACAAGTAAAAAACCTTATTTGGACACTTTATTTACAAATCATGCCTATATTATAATTATAAACTATGTGGGCAATAAATAAAGGGACCGCTAATTTATAACCTGAATCAGACGGTTATCTGATAACTAAATATTAGCAGACAACCAAATGGTAATTATGAAATAAGATGTTCAACAAATTAATGATATTAAACTAACCATCCTATTATACATTAGCCGTTAACTGAATATATTTAATGTTTTACAGATGGCTCAGCTTGAGTTTAGCCATAACAACTATTTGGGCATTTATGTTAAATGTCATTTCTCGGTGAAATAGCTATTTTCAATAATCAGCGCGTCACGCGATGATATCATTGACTGCTGAAGAGTTCTGATAAATATTGAGATGTAAGAAAAGTTTGCATTGTTTGGCCGACTGCCAAATGCGTTACTTGGAGACATCGGGCATCGGACATAAATGACCATTTCTGATATTAGTTTTAAAATGAAGTTCCAAGTATTATACACGAAATGCGTAAAAAAATTAAAAATCTCGTTAAAGTGAGGGTGGTGATCGATTACCAGACTCTTGCAGATTCTTAGTTATTGAGAAGTGTTTTAATAATTGATTAAACCGTGACTTGTTTTTGTGCTTCTAGGTGTTCTACTACGAGATCCTAAACAGCCCGGACCGCGCGTGTCGGTTGGCGAAGGCCGCCTTCGACGACGCCATCGCCGAGTTAGACACTTTGTCGGAGGAGAGCTACAAGGACTCGACGCTCATCATGCAGTTGCTGCGGGACAACCTCACCCTCTGGACCTCCGACATGCAGGGCGACGGCGAGTCCGGTACGTTCGTGTTTTCTAACATTCAATATATCTAATTTCTCCTTTCGCTAACCGAGCCTCTTCCGTGTGCAGGTGAAGCGGAACAGAAGGAGCCCGCGCAGGACGTGGAGGACCAAGACGTGTCGTAATGCCGTTCGCGGCGCGTTTAATTTATATAAAAACATTACTATAGTCTCGTCTCGTTAAGATCCCTTCGACGACACCACCCACTAACAAACAGACAAACATTGGCAGCCATCAAAACTATATTGTTATCGTATAAACGTGTACTCGATATATTAATAATGGAACGTTTGTTTCGCGTATAAATTTTAAACAGTACTTTGGTATTGCATTTTAATGTATGTTGCTAAGAATGTATTTTCTTAACGTTAAAATTGATCTCTACTGTTGAATTTTAGCTTCCCCTTCCCCCTTCCCCGCTCCTATTAGCGTTCGTTAGTGACTCTCGTACCGCCTGGGATCTTATAACTTCATAGTGGTCGCTATCTTCACATCCGTGGCTACTCTCTAAGAACTGTAAATTTTCTAAGTATTTTATACCGTGTGTAAAATTAATGTATTAAAAGCTGTTGAATCTTATAACGAACACTAAAGCGGCAGAATCGATCGATGCGTTCATTGCGTTCGTTGCGTTTTGGCGAATAGTGGTTTGTATGTTATCACGCGAAAGTAATAGATAACGTTGTATCGTCCGTCTGGTTCGGTTTGCACAAATAGTCGTTACGTCAAGTGTCCGGGACTTCCCCCGCATTACAAACGTTTGGAGTATTCACACTTGCATCGCTTTAATTACTTACGAGTATTGTGATAGAGATTTGTATATTTAATTTATTTTATAATTTCGCATATTTCTCGAGAATATCATTGTGTAGCGCTATTCATGTTATCTGTACGATTTTACAGGACGAAAGGACGGTAGTTGTAAAGTTGTGCTAGGTTTAAGGTTAGCACTTGGTGAATAATTTATTTGCGAGCTAGAGTCAGATACATTCCATCTCGTATGCGCTAGCGCAGCGCGTGCCGTGCCGAGTGCGCGCCCGAGTAAGATATTAGCGTTATTTTATTTGAATTTGTAATATTGCATATATTTTTGTTATTTTATCCACAAAAAATACTGATGCAATTAATTAGCCTTAGTGTTATGCAATATTGATTTATGTCCTACCAACTACTGAAAATTTATTGTAAATGACAGTGTAAATCTAATAATAAAATTCAAAAGTCCACATTGTTGTTTTATTATGGCCTTCCCTTAAACCGTTCTCCTGACTAAGAGTTGCTTTCTTTGTTGAGTTTCACTTTTTAGATGAAATATAAATGACTAAGTATTATTATTAATGATTATCATAACAAAACTGCAACTCCCGTCTAGAGCTATTTTTAAAACTTACAAACTTGACTACACATAGTCTAGGAAATGCCATTAAGTTAACAGGCAACTGTTGAATTGAAGACAATTTTATTTGCACATTTCTAGCTATTATGGGACTGTAAAATAGTTAACGGTCCATGTCTGTTCCAACACAGGCCGACAACGCATCTGCAAACTAGGTGTCCATGGGTGGCGTTAACTTAAGAAACTTTCCTCGAATCTTACGCATCCTAGAAAAATACTTATTTAGGAGATTATAAGTAATTGAATATGGTCCATACACATTACACATGATTTAAACTTTAAAGCGAGGCTGAAAACTTGGAAACGTGGTCTGAGGTAATTAAAATTAAGTGAGCGCCATCTATTGACTTAAGGGTATACTAGAACGTAAAGGAAGTTAGTTTGGAAGAGGTGGTTTCAACTTCAAGTAACGTATACATTTTATTTTACCTTTTTTTAAAAGATGGCAGTAAAAGAATTTAAGATGAATTAATTTAACCAACTGTTTTACCGTTGTAATTGGCATGATGGCGTTAAACCAAATAACCAAACGTGCATGAAAAACAAACAAATTTTCCTTTTTTCATTAAGATTTATTTAACACGTTGAATAAATCATCACAAATTATAATAATTTAGTATTAAGGGAGGGCAACTTTATTAATTATTAATAAAATAAGCGCATAAAGTGCTAAACTATACGTACATAAGATATTCATTAACTTAAACATAACGAAACTAACTAAATTATGTAAGCCGTAAGGGATACGATGTGGACAATTAGTGCTTGTAAAGTAGAGCTTTAAAGAAGCATAGAGAAAGAGCAAGCTAAGCCAATACATTTTAGTAAGAGATTGATAAATGATTATTCATATTACAATCATTGGAACATTTGTAGGCTTTTGCCAGCTACTATTTCCAGTAATAAGATCGGCTGGAGTAGTTTAGTGTGGCGTATGCAAAGAGATACATAGGTATTAACTTATAAACAAATTTAGTTTTCTTTAAACTTCTTCATATTTATATAATAAATATTATATGAAGCTTTTTAAAATTTAATGAATTTTTATTCTAACTAAGTCGCGGACATCGGCTAGAAATAAATAAAATTAAAGAGCTATGTCCCTGACCGCTTCTAATCTCAGCGACAGCGGTAGTCGAGAGCTTGAGGACGCGGCTTTGTGGGTTCATTCGTTTGCTTTTATATTCAAGGCGTACTGTCGTCGTTATCTCGCGGTTTGAGTTCTCCACGTAACCTGCATAGCGGTGGTTAACACTGGCTTTCAGGGCGTATGAGATTTAATTATACATAAGCATGAATAAGAAAAACAACCATGTTTGCGGGGTCATTTATATTTACGTATTAATTTATAAAATAAAATGCAAGAAAAAAGGTTTTTACATATAATAAATGGGCCATTGAAATTTAAAAACAAAAAACTTTAAGAGCTTAGATGGTTTAAAACTCTTCTGAGATCCGAATGTAAATAAATTCAAACCCCAGATAAAACATTCTTACAACACGGTAGATTGGTTTCGCGTTGTAGGAGTATTATGGCATAACGCGCTTGCATGACCCATATAATGCGTTATGTACAAATGATTCAAGTTTAACTTTTCTCGTTAAAGGGAATTTAAATCGAATATTAAGAAAAAACTATGTTATGAACTAAATCATTATAAATGACACAGTATAAAAATAAAACGTGTGCAATCTCCGCGTTATATAGGAGCTTACCCGTGTTATACGAGGGACTGATCGCGTAATATGAAAATGTGTTATAAGAGTACCATGTTATAAGGGGGTTTACTGTAGTTCTTTTTTAAAAACTCAGGGAAATATAGGAAACATCAACTTTGTAGCAATAGATGGCGTTACAATGGCAATATTTAAGTAGACCTTAATCATAATATTGAATAGTTATCCGTCAACTTATGACTGATGTCTTTCGCTGAATGATTGTTGAAAGCACTCGAAATGTCAAGTTAAGTAAATAATGTAATAAATTCGCGTCTATCCGTTAAAGAAGTTATTTATGGCGAACGTGGCATGGAGGATATGTGTCTTCAATGTTAATTTAAGTTTAATTAGTGCATTGGTGCATTTCGTACACTTCTACCACGAGTATGCAAACTGCCACGTCTCAATACAAGAGTGTTAGATAACAATGAAACTTGATTTTGATCACATTAATTATTATTTATTATGATACTAGCTGACCCGGCGAACTTTGTTCCGCCTTAATGGCAATAAATAAGCAGATTGTTTTTTTTATTGGAAAAAATACAAAAAAAATTAAATACCTACATTAATCATTCATTATTATTTCTGTATTTTAGTACATAGGTTGCTCTTTACTTAAGTACCTTGTGATACACGACATTTTTTGTTTTATTATCAGGCACAAAAACAAACAACGCAGATGGTCTTCCGACCCGTGAACATGCCACGTATAATTGACCGTGGGAAAAACATGAATGTTCTAGATTTAAACCACAAACTTTTAGGGATTGGCCTTTTGATTTGTTGATGGTCATGGCAAATGCAAGACGTATCGGAAATTGTTTATTATGATATATACGTACCAAATAAATCCTTAGTTCGCCTTATATCATAAATAGCTACACCAGACTGGTCTGTATCTATTATCACTGGATGAGATTGTCACTACAGATCAGGCTCTATATATTTGTTGAACAGAGAAAAAAAAGACAGAAGCCTATGATATAACTGTCAACTACAGACCACAGAGAAAACCGTAAATCTATGTTTGAACTTTAAACATGGTACTATTATAAAAATCCAGTACTGCTTTCCACCATTACACAATATTACAATACCATTACACTTTCCGTTACCACAATGCAAGCCGTATCTCGCATAATTTGTACGTTATGCAAAATGAGATCGTTTTATGGAGCATTGGAGCACTTTATAAGCGTTGATTGTACTCGTATAAGTGATTATGAGGTGTCGATTTTGCATTTTAAGGGCTTCGTTTTCTTAACACACGTAAGGTTCGGGTTTTCTATTCGACTCACGTATTTATATTGGAATCTATACTTTATATTATAAAGAGGAAAGATTTGTATGTAAGTATGTTTGTAACGAATTGGCTCAAAAAGTACTGGACCGATTTTAAAAATTCATTCACCATTTGAATGCTATATTATCACTGATTAATATTGGCTATTTTAATTGCAAGAAAATAATAAGGTGTAAAAAAATGCCCATAAAATATATTTCAACGCATGCGCGGCGAAAACTATTGATGATAGAACAAAAAAGTGTTCCACAATATTAAAGAACATATCAATATCTATAAAAAATGTTTAACAAATAAATGTCCAAACGTGCGAAGCCGTAACGGGCCGCGAGTGTATAATGTTGACGACTATCACACACAATAATGAATACTGTCTTAAACAATCCCATTAGCGCTCATCTTTGATACATACCTGATGAGGAGGTGGCCTACATTACGTCTGCACTTCAGGTTAAAATATAAATGATGTGAACATGTTGAATGCCACTGCCCTACTGAACTTGTTTGAACTGAGAATAGACTATAGAGAGTGGAGGGCAGCAATGGCGCAGTCATTCATTCATTTAGTTCATAGGTCACTGACCTAACACTAGTTCCGAAATAAAGGAATTGTTTAAAGGGGTTTGAAAGGGGTTTCTTTTAAAAATTGTTTGAGATGTTTATAAGTTAGAAATCATGACTCGCTAAGACTGCTGTTTATTGAT